CCCCCCCCCCGCAGACCCTCTCCAACATCCGCAACCTAACAGCCTCGCTCTTCGGCGTCGCCGCCGGCACCCTCGGCCTCGAGTCGACGCCGGGCTTCCTGTTCTACGTCGGCGGCGCGGTGCTGGTCTCGCTGCTCATGAGCCTCGTGCGCGCGCGCGGCGCCCCCGGAAAGTTCTTCTACCGCCCGCTGGCCGAGTTCTGGATGGGCGACGTGGTTGGCGCCGCCATGTCGTTTGTGCTGACGTGGACGCTGTTCTACGGCTTGTTGAGGGCATAGAGGCACGGCCGGAGGAGCGATGAGAATGACAAAAGCAATGGGCGCGGATATTATGCCAATGGCTGGTAGCTGGTAGACGCGGCTGCGTCGGAGCCGGGGACAGAAAGAATGCCCTTGGGGCGTATATACACGACTTTTTAATGATACCCTACCTACATACAACCAGACGGGCATTATGGGCACAGCACCGAGGCCTGCAGCAGAACCATATCCACCAGCGGGGAAGCAACATCCGCAATCATCCCCGGCTATCCACTCAGTCCACCTATCCTTCACATCACTCAATCATCATCTATCTACGCAATCAAAACTCCATATCCCCCACCATCTTCCCCACAACCTCCCACATGGCCCCAATCTTCCCAGCATACGACCGCAAGCGCTCCGGCCCCAGCGCCTCCGCACTCACGCCCATGCGCTCCATGGCGGCGCCCACGGCGCGCGCAAACCGGCTATTGACGCCATGGCCCTGCGGCACCGCCGCCACCACCTCACCCAGCACCCCGTACAGCACCGTCCCCAGCTCGATGCCGTACTTGCGCACAAGCTGCCTTGTCTGCGCCGTAGCGCCGGGCCAGGCGCCCGCCTCGCCCCCGGACGCCTCGTCCGACGCGCACATGATCAGCAGCGCCGTCAGCGTCGAGAAGACAAACGCGTGCACCGCGCGCAGCGGGTGCGACGCCGGCAGCAGCGTCTTGTCCGTCAGGACGTGGCGGGCTGCGGCGTGCTGCCAGGCAGGGACGAGCTGCCCCGCCGCGAGGGCGAAGACGACGAGCTCGTCGCGCAGGGCGGGGCGGGGCTGGCGGGCGGGCGCGAAGCCGCCGCATGTCTTGAGCAGGCGCAAAGACTCGGAGACGAGGCGCAGCGGCTCCGTCGGGTCCGCGCTGTTTGTTAGGCGGTGGGCCTGGTCGAGGGCGGCGAAGGCGGCGGTCTCGATGGCGCGGAGGTGCTCCTCGGCCGGGGCGTCAGGGGCGGGGGCGGGCGTGTCGAAGGGCAGCGCGCGCGTGAGCGAGGGCAGCTGCGCGGTTTGCGCAGGTGTGAGTGGCGCGAAGGCGTCTTCGGCGCCTGTGGGGCCTTGCGTGCATTTGGCGCACTTGCAGGTGAAGTAGTAGCGGTCGAGCAGCTCGGCTTGCCGCTTGTGGAAGGGGTTGCTGCCGTCAATGTACGAGACGAAGAGCTCTTCGTCCTGGGCGATGGGCCGCATGGCGCGCAGCACGAGCGTCGCGCCGTCGTTGAGCACGAAGGCGTTGGGCGCGCACGAGTGGTTCGCCGTGCAGGGGTAGGGGTCGAGCGAGAGGCCGAGGGGGTCCATGATGGAGGTTACGAGGGTGAGGCTGTTGGTCAGGATCTGGGGTACGTACGCGTCAATCAGTGTCCGTCCCTCTAGCCGCTTAGGCAGTACGTACCCTGGCATACACGCCCTGGGCCGTCTCGACGTCAAACGTGCCCTCGGTCTTCGAGTACTTCAGCACGCCCATGGCCAGCACCTCGTGCGTCTCCCAGTCGTCCCTGGCGCGCAGGTCGTCGAGATGCGTCTCCAGCCGCATCAGCTCGTCCCACTGCGCGTCGGACAAGCGGCCGTTCTTGCGCCTGGCCAGCAGCTCCATGCCCGCGCGCACCGCGTTCGGCAGCCGCCCGCTGCGCTCCAGCTCGCGGAAGACGGGGCACTCGAACTTGTGCGCGCGCTTCCACGAGTCCGTCTGGCACGCCTTGCCGCAAAACTTGACGATGTTGCACCCCGTGCACGCCTTGAGATCCAGCCCCTCGCTCGAGCCGATCATGTCGTTGCACGCGAAGCAGTTGGCGCACGTGTCCAGCAGCCGGCTGGTGTCGAGGGCGGCGACCAGAGGCCGCGGGATGGAAAATATCAGGCCGCCCGTGTCTATGGCCTTTTTCGCAAACAGGCCGTTGCCGGCGACGGGCGATTCTTTGATGTAGCTCGCGTTGTTCTGCGCCATGATTTCCAAAGCTCTTTCTGCAGAGGGGTTGTTGTTGTTTGCGGAAAAACCAGGGGTCATGTTTAAACGTGGTGAAGTACAGCGCTAGGTACTGCTAGTGTGGGCCCTCAGCCCTGCTGCCCCAGAGTTTGTCTGGCGCGCCTTTTCCGTCACCGCACGCCCTCACAGCATTGCGTCACAGGGACATGCCTCTCCGAGTCCTGTCAAAAGCAAAACATAACTGCTTGTCGAATACAAAAAAAAAAAAAAGCCTGCATAAAAGGGGTGGGTGGTGTAAGGCTAGATACACGCTAAACCTCCAGCATCGCTGCTCCCAGCACCGTAGTTGAACTCCAAAAGTCACCATCGACAGTATACCAAACCACTCTCTCTACGCCACATCTAAAGCTCTGTCTAGTACTCGGCCTCTTCAAGGTCCTCCTCCTCCAGCGCGTCCGAAGCAACCTCCTCGTAGTCCTTCTCGAGGGCAGCCAGGTCCTCACGAGCCTCGGAGAACTCGCCTTCCTCCATACCCTCACCGACGTACCAGTGCACGAAGGCACGCTTGGAGTACATGAGGTCGAACTTGTGGTCGAGACGGCTCCACGCCTCCGCGATGGCAGTCGTGTTGGACAGCATGCTGACGGAGCGGTCGACGGGAGCAAGCTCGCCGCCGGGAACGCGGACCGGCTTCTGGTAGTTGATGCCAATCTTGAAACCAGTCGGGCACCACTCGACCAGGTTGAACGAGGCCTTGGCCTTGAGGGCGGCAACGGCCGAGTTGCAGTCGCGGGGAACGACATCGCCACGGTACAGCAGAGCGACGGCCATGTACTTGCCGTTGCGGGGGTCGCAGACGACCATCTGGTTGTTGGGCTCGAAGCCTAGCACGGCGTGAGTGACTGTCATCAACAAACAAACTCGTGGTGCACTTACACTGGAAGGTCAGGTCGTTGACCTTGAAGCTCTCGTGGGAGCTCTTCTGGCTCGAGATGACGGGCGCATAGCTGATCAGGGGGTAGTGGATACGCGGGTAAGGGACCAGGTTGGTCTGGAACTCGTTCAGGTCGACATTGAGAGCACCGTCGAAGCGGAGGGAGGAGGTGATGGAGCTGACAACCTGGGCGATCAGGCGGTTCAGGTGCTCGTAGCTGGGACGGGGGATGTCGAGGTTGCGACGGCAGATGTCGTAGACAGCCTCGTTGTCAACCAGGAACGTGCAGTCGGAGTTCTCGATCGTGCTGTGAGTGGAGAGAACGGCGTTGTAGGGCTCAACGACGGCGGTCGAGACCTTGGGGGCAGGGTAGACGGCGAACTCGAGCTTGGACTTCTTGCCGTAGTCGGTGGACAGCCGCTCGAGGAGGAGGGCGCCGAAACCAGAGCCGGTACCACCGCCGAAGGAGTGGAAGATCAGGAAGCCCTGAAGGGAGCCGCAGTTGTCTAAAACGCCGTCAGAGTGACATCGAACGATGATGCGCAAGAGGAAACATACCGGCGACGCGACGGACGCGGTCGATGACATTGTCGACAAGCTCCTTGCCAATGGTGTAGTGACCACGGGCATCTAAATGGGCGGTCAGCTTCCTTGCCAGCGACGTGCGATTCTCCCAACGTACAGTTGTTGGCGGCATCCTCCTTGCCACTGATCAGAAGCTCGGGGTGGAAGAGCTGCCTGTAGCCGCCAGTGCGGATCTCATCAACGGGCTAGCCAGCCGTTAGCTCCAAAGTCGCGACTTCCCCGCATCCCCGCAAAGTGTGTATAGCTTACCGAAGGGTCGAGATCGACGAAGATGGAGCGAGGGACGTATTTGCCGCTGGTGGTCTCGGTGAAGAAGGTCTCGAAGGAGCCGCCCTCGGTATCGGCCTGCGATTCGGGGTCGGGGCGACCATCAGACTTCAAACCGTGCTCAAGGAGGTAGCTAGTATGGAGGCGTTAGCGCGCAATCGCGTCGCAAGTGAGGATTGGAGGTCCCTACAGCTCCCAGGCACTGTTACCGAGCTGGATACCAGCTTGGCCGATGTGGATGTGGCAAACCTGCGCGTGTAAGCCGGGCGTTGCAGATCAGGGGAAGCACGATGGCGTCGCTGCGCGTTGCGAGATTGGCAGCGCAGGTTGGGGGCAGATGGAGGGCCGGCGACTTACTTCTCCCCTCATGGTGGCTGTCGTTTGGAGTCGGGTATGCAGTTGGTGACAGGAGAATGAATGGAGATGCTAAACGCTTGGTGGTAGCGGTGAGCGAAGCGTTTGGTGTTTGTCAACGGATTAGCGGGGCAGCCCAGACACAGGGCCAAAATAAAGGCGGACAGGGATCGCTCCCCACGCACCAATCACACACGCGTCACCCACTGTGAAACACACACAATGCCATTGCTCATCTAACTGCCGACTACTCTACTCTACCTACCTAAAGCACTACGGTAGACATTGTTCTTCATCTTCTGTGGATAAAGTTAATGCAACAATGCCTACTACCTAGGTATATACTTCTATAAGTAGGTCAAAATGCTCTTTATACATCATTTCCTAGATATATACTTCAATCTAGAGCTTGTGCCAACTCACATCCCATGGAAACAACAACGCGGCCGTCGACCTCAACGATGGGCGGTGCAGTCGTAGCCAGCCTCCGCCTCCGATGTCCGACATGAAGGGCCGCAGTTGCGTAGTGATGCTGACGACAGCCGCGGGTGGCTGGTCTGGCGCGCTAAGATAGACGACTGTTACGATGGAGTCGTAGGTGGCAAACGCAAAGACCTTTCCTGGGGGCGAGAAGCCGCAGCCATGTACCCAGCCCGCCGTGTTGTACAGGACCTCGCTGTATACGGTGTTGAGTGGCAAACGCTCGCTCCAGGCCAAAGGCTCGGGCTTCTGGTCCATGCCCGTGATGAGCAATTGACAATCTTGCAGCTGTTGGGGGCAGTGTCGACACTAGTGACAATCTTGTCGTGGCCAGCCAACTCATCCATGAACTATAGCTTGGAGCCTGAACGGGTGTAAAGGTCGACGCTGTTCTCACGGGCGAAGGCCAAGCCCTTGCGGTCGGCAGACGGGGTGGTAGGTTGTGGGAGAACCGGTGAACTTCGGAGGAGCCATTGTTGCAGCAACAGGAGAACCAACTACTGGACTATTACTGGTGATTGATAAGAGATGTGAGTTGTAGGACGTTGGAACGAGAGGGGCCGGCTGCGGGGAATGTCGCGGAGGTGATCTGGGCCCGGCCGTTGTGAGCCTGAAATATAAGGTTAGGACGCATTTCATCTGCAAGCTCGTCACGTAAGCAGCCCGCAAACAATACCTCATGCGCTCACTATCAAGACTGGATCGAACTAGTCTCATCAGTACTACAAAGCGAAAACTTGCAGAAAATGACAAGACAGTCACGAAAAAGAAGGCATTCGGGTTGAGAAAATTCAGAGAAAATCATGGAAATTAGCTTCTTTATAGCGACATAAAGCTGCTAAAAGCTACTCCGACAGAGAAAGACGCTGGTGTTGCTGCCCATCGCTATAGAGCAGTGCGGCCGAGACTGAATCGACTTGACCTCGCAGCTCCGACTCCCATCCACAATGACGCCTGCTATCAAAGACCGATGGAAGGCCTCCAGCGCGGAGTAACCCCCTCAAACCAGGCATAAGTTCCAATCAGCCCTTCAAGTCAGCTGCGGTGGCAGGGTTGGCGCTGTTAGCGCCACTGACGGGAGTGTTGTTCTCGTTGTTAGAGGAGGCACTAGTCTGAGTTCCCGTGTTGACAGTGGTATCGGCATTGTTCGTGTTGCTGACCTTGGCCGTGGTGTCCGTAGTGCCGGTGGCCTCCTTGGTATCTGTGTTGGTCGCAGTGCCAATTGCGGTACCAGCCGAGCGCTCATTAGCAGCAGCGAGGCGTTGGACTTCAGCAGAGAGGCTGTCCTTGGGAGGGTAGTGACCCAAGGCCTTATGCTCGGCGCTCAGAACGTGACGCGCCTCCTCGGAAGTGACGTGGGACGGGTCGGTCTTCATCTCTTGCTGAACGGGGTCGGCTACAGCATGGAAGTTCTATGACAGTCAGCAAAGTGTCCAGGATAGAACGGTGTACAGTATGGTGAAGTGACCATCCAGTATTGAAATTTGAGTCAGAGTGCTTCACTTACATCGACCTTGTCAGCCTGGGATTGAGCTTGAGCCGCAATACTGCCATGCGGAGGACGGTGACCCAGAGCACGCTGTTCGGCGCTCTGAGCACGAGCAGCATCTTCATGAGTGATGTGCATGGGATCGTCGCGAAGCTTAGCAGCAACCTCCTGGTCGACCTTCTCAGCAATAGTCTCAGATTGAGTCTGAATGCCGACCGGCGGAGCCGTGGCTTTGGACTGAGTGACTGGCTCGATGCTGGTCTGAGTAGGTTGAACCTGAATAGGCTGAACGCCGGACTTGGGAGCTTGAGTGCCAGCCTGAGTGCCAACTTGAGTGCAGGTCTGGGAGCCAGTCTGAGTGCCGGTCTGAGTGCCGCCATGGGAAGCAGACTGAGTGTCGCCCTGAGAACCAGTGGGTTGAGCAGCGCCGGACTGAGCCGCGATGGGCTTAACAGCGGCGGGCTCGCCGGGGGTAGGCTGTGCAGTAGGTTGAGCAGCCATGATTGCGCTTGAGGATCTGAAAGAGTTTGGATGTGCCGTGAATGAGGGTTGCGGGCAGAAAAGTGCAACTGACAGACGGTGGAGGAAGAAGAGAGGAAGTCTGACTGGCCTGGGATTTTAAATACCCCCTCGCTTGCCACGTATGGAAGTAACAAGACAGTTGGGGAAGGGACAATGTGAAAGGAACGACGGACACTTTGAAAGGAAGGAACGACGGACAATGTGAAAGGAAGGAAAGCTCAGTGACTGCCTGCTTTGTGCCGTACAAGCAAGAATACCCTTCACATCTCAGAAACTCGCACTCACTGCCGATTTATTCTAGCTATGTCTGCTTTCGTCGACGGTTAAGACATGTTAACTGGTTGTTTGCCCAGGTGCTTTGCTCTGAGCCGCAACTTCCCGACTCGTCTCTTGCTCACACCGACACTTCCAGCCTTGCATAATGCTCCCATGGATAAATTTGCGGTATCTCTGTAGTTGAGGTGAACACAGCTCAGGTATCTTAGACCAGAACACCAAACAAAGTCCAGGACACTGAAGTCCGAGGACGCTGCGTAGTTAGTCTTCCACTTGGTATAGGCTTACTAAGATTTAGTCGCTTTGCGGGGCATCGCGAAGGTTCCTTTAAGGGGTTCTCATTCAGCTTCCAATAGAGAAACTTCTACAGGGAACTACCTGGGCTAAGTCTCATGCCCGCAAATTGCCCTCTTATGCACTGAATCGAAATCCTTTGACTGACATCGACAGAAAACAAGAATATGCACAAGAGAAGTCTGGCCGCTCAGTTTGATTCGTTGAAGGTCCAGCCCAATCCCATCCTTGCATCAAACGGACGAATCAATTGAAGGTTGGATGAAGTCAAATCGGTTAGCTCATACCATCTAAACACTCGAGCCTACAAAGAGGAGATTGCTGAATACAACACCTACAACTGTTCGCAGACATTGTATCCGCACCGAAGCCTGTTCTTCGCTCGACTGTCTCGACTAGGTTGGCAGAACCAAGCCCATCGGACCTCGGTATGAATTGCCACAACGTTGAAAGCTACCACAACGGCCCGCGGGTCGGAGGCAACGATCATCTACCGTGGATGCGATACTGTTGGAAGTGCCGGCGGTGTGCAGCTCACTGCTGTCAGCAAAACAATGATCCAGCGAGTGGATAACCGCCGTGCATGGTAGCAGGATCGACATTGGACAACGTCTAGACTCAGGAATGATCGCTCGGAGATAAGGACTTCTTTCAGCGTGAGGATCGATCACAGTGTCCTCTTGCTGGCCGTTCACATGCCGGCACGCGCCAGTGGACGTCCCGTACGCGTCCTTCGCTTCTGCACACTGGCCGGAGATGGATTGGGCCGAGCACCCGGAGACGCGAAGCTATACGAACACCCCAAGAAGCACCGTTCATGCGCCACGGCAAGGCAACACGTCTCCCGGCCACGCTGCTGGTGATGAATCCAGGGACCTTGGGACCGGGCCGGGTGCTAGGGAAGTGCGGGATGGCTGGGTGTGCGCCATTTGACTGAAACAGGATGGAGAGGGTGGAGAGAGGTTGATTCATTAGGGAAACCAGGTGGCTTGGGGTGGGCTTGAGGTGGGATCAGCGCAGGAAGGTCCCGCAGTGCGCGTGCGGGTTGACCGGCCAGGGGCACCTGCGGGCCCAGGGTAGAAAATCAGAAGCTGGATAGAACGTCTCGACGAGTGTAGTGTGGCGGCCTTGACCCTGCAAGCCAAGTACCCTGGCGCGGTGGTGAAACACACAGGCTGCGCCACCGGCACTGCGCTCTATCGAACATCGAAAGAGTGTCTTCTGAGGGTTCTCGAACACAGCGTACTGGAGGGAACCGGGAGGCGGGAAGGTTTGCCGCTCGGCGTCGCCTCTTGGTGCTGGCGGGATGCCACCGCAGATGCAGTAGCACGACGCCACAGACGTCGGGCGAAAAGGCGCGCTGGACAAAGGCAACTTGGCGCCCCACTGTGATTTATTTTCAGCGAGGGTCGGTCAGGGTTGATTCGTTCCCTGATCCCAACCAGCAGTCGCGTCCCTCCGACCCACGCCGAATCGTCATTCCAGATCGTCTCTGGTTTAGGCCGCGGCCGCGCGATCACCCTTCGGAGGTGCTACAATAACCCGCAATATACCATTTAGTGTCCTGTCAACCCGCTGGCCGCACCCGCATTCCATATCCATCCTTTCCTCGCTTTCTTCGTTCGTTCGTCTGCCTCACTCGCTCAGACTGCGCACGCCCGTCGATGTTCCATCTCCACCGCGCATCGTAAGATAACCTCGCGACCCCCCGCGTGAATCAGTGGGACCCTGTCTTCGATCAATTGCCCTCCACCATGACGACCCCCGTGGACGAAAAGAGCGAGCCGTACTACGAGCCTCCCCACGTCTCCGACAGGTACGACGAGGATGACGATACCTACGTCGGCCATGATTCCACCAGGCAAAACTCCGACGACCACAACAACGTCGACACCACCGACCATGCACTCCCCCACCACCGCGACCAGAGCCATCTTTCCGTCAGGACGGAAATGGAAAGAGACCCATCCCAGCACTCGATGTACAACGTAGTCTCCGCCTCGGCATCAGCATCCCGCGAGCAGGCCAGTCGCTTAGAGGACGACTTGCAGATGCTGCAGATCGAGAGGCAAATCTCTCTGCGCGAGTACGAAAGGGAGCATTCGACCACTCGTTCCTTACACCGATCCCGGTCGCGCCGCGAGGAACCCGTGGATGAGTTTGACGTTGCCACGAATCCCTTGCACGAACAGGCCAATGTCTATCGGCCGCCGGAAACGCCATCGACTAACCTTGCCAAGTTGATCATCAAGATTCACAGTTCTAGTTGGCTTGTGCGCTGGAGCACGTACATCACTCCTGTTGTTTTGATCATCTTGATCCCTCTGCTGCTCGGTGCCCTCAAGTTCAAGGATGCAAACGTGGGTGGTGTTGAACTTGTCTGGTTCTGTATCTGGCTGGAAATTGCTTGGCTCACTCTCTGGGCTGGCAGGGTAAGTCCACACCGGTCCATTTCCGCAAGATTGATACTGACTACTGTCTTACAGCTTCTCGCTAAATGTCTGCCTTGGCCTATTGGGCTACTGTCCAGCTTGGTCACTAACAATGGCAAAAAATGGCGTGATATGGGCAAGCAACTAGAGCTCCCTGCTACTCTATTTTTCTGGTGGCTGGCAATCATCATCTCCTTCTATCCGACTATGAAAAACCACCACATCGATGGTAACAAGAATATCAAAGGTTGGGAGAAGTCCATGTACAAGGTTCTGACGTCCATCTTCGTCGGCTGCACTCTCAACTTCGCGGAGAAGATCATTATTCAACTCATTGCCATCAGCTTCCACTTGCGTACATATGCGGACCGTATCGAGCTTAACAAGTTCCAGATTGGGAGCTTGATTAAGCTGTACACTTTCTCCAAAACGAAGATTACTGCCGAAGATTCCGAGTTCGAAATTAAAGAATCCAACATGCTGTCCGGCACCCGCACTCCCGGCCAGTTCATTGTAGATGCCGGGCAGCTTGTGAAGGATGCCCAAAAGAATACCAAAGAGGCTTTCAACAAATTCGGAGACGTGGCCGGCAAGATTGCTGCTGATTTCGCCGGTCGCCAGGCGCAGAAGAGTAACCACCCCAACCAGGTTGTTGTGGCTCTCCTGGGTTCGACGTCTGGTAGTCAGGTCCTTGCTCGCCGTTTGTATCGCACATTCGGTAGCAATGAATCCGAAACTGTCCACCCTGATGACTTGAAGGCCGCTTTCGACAACCAGGACGAAGCAGATGCGGCGTTCTCAATGTTCGACAAGGACATGAACGGCGATATTTCCATGGAAGAGCTTGAGGCAGTTTGCGTCGAGATTGGCCGTGAGCGTAAGGCTATCACTGCTTCGCTAAAGGATCTTGACTCTGTCATCAGCAAACTTGATGATGTCTTGATGTTCCTGGTCTTTGTTATCACTGTCCTCGTCTTTCTCTCGCTTATTTCTACATCCGCTGCGGGCGTGTTGACGTCTGCTGGCTCCACCGTCCTCGCTCTTTCGTGGCTCTTCTCCGCCACCGCACAGGAGTTCCTGCAGTCCATTGTCTTCGTATTCGTCAAGCACCCGTTCGACGTTGGCGACCGTGTCACCATTTACGGTAACACTGGTGCGTCCGGTACAGGTGACGATTACTTCGTCAAGGAGATTGCACTCCTTTACACTGAGTTCAAGAAGATGGAAGGCCACTTGGTTCAAGCTCCCAACAGCTACCTGAACGGATTGTTCATCCTCAACCAAAGACGTTCTGGCGGTCTGGCCGAGGCTGTGCCCATCTGCATTAAGTTTGGTACTACTCTTGATCAGATCGAGTCTCTCCGCACGAGGCTGCTCGAGTTTGTCCGCACGGAGAACCGCGAATACCAAGGCAACATCCTTACCGAGCTTCGTGAGGTCAAGGAGGCTCACTCTCTCACTCTCAACGTCGTCTTCTTCTACAAGTCGAACTGGCAGAACGAACTGCTCCGTCTGCAGCGCCGCAACAAGTTTATCTGCGCTCTTATGGTCACCATGCAAGAGTGCGGTATTGAAGGTCCTCGCATGCGCTTCCCTGGCCAAAAGGAGTCCTTCCCCGTCTATCTGCAGAACGTTCCTCACGTTGCTACTCCGGGTATGGGTCATGGTGGAAACCCGGACAACCCGGTGGGCCTCATGCCTGAGAAGCGTGACAACCCTCAAGATCCTCCATTCGTCGACTCTCCTTCCTTCGACTCACACTCGCACGGTCACCAGCAAGGCCGTATGCACTCCATCCTGCGTACCAGTAGTACGCGGCCTCGTGGCGAGTCCCTTGCGCAAATGGGTCGCCGTGTCGACTTCTCTCTCGGTATGAAGGACATTGCATCAACCGACATGACGGGTGACGTATTCGAAGAGCGCACGCGGCCCCGCATTCCCATCAACGTCACTAGTCCATCGGCGTCGCGGCCGCGCGTCTCGATCGACTCGCACGGCACGGGCCACTCGACGGGTCGCGACTCGAACGACCTGCACCGGGTGCCCACGGACAGCTCGGGGGGCCAAAGCCGCGTCTCGCACCGCAACCGCTTCTTCTCCCGGCATAAGATGCGGGATGAGGCCGAACGTATGGAGTCGGGCATGTCGGACATGGCCAGCATCAGGGAGGAGTCGCAGTCGAATGACCGCATCGATCCTCGCAGCGGCCACGTGAGTCCCGCCGCCTGGCGCCTGACCAGCGAAGAGAACATGGCTCCCCACTCCAGATCGCCCTCGAGGCCGCCCATGGGCCCGCCCAGGCGGAGCCGGACAGACATCCATTAAGATGGACAACTGCGGCCTGGGCAGCCCTCTTGTCTTTGTTCCAACAGATTTGACTTCTGCCTAACCAGTTTAGCGGGCGATGTAGGTATAGAAAAGTCGCATACGTGAGGCGCTTAATCGGCCTCCTCACTTCATTTCTTATTCTTTTTCTCAGTTTATAGAAGGCTCGGAGAGACAAAAACACCACCAACTGGATGTGTTGATAGAAGGCTTGGCGTTATTACTTCTTGTTTTCCTTTTCTTGTTTTATTCTCGCAGCATGCATAGCCTGCCTGTCTGAGCGATCGAGTGGTCAAGAGGCCTTGACGGCTATCGGTGTTTACCTTTTTTTTTTTTTTTTTTTTTGCGCGCCATCGAAGCGCCCTCTTCCTCCCGTGTCTTTGGATAGATCAACGGGAATGGCTTTTTCTTTTTATCTGACACGCACACGCACATACACGTACATGGGAGTCTACACGATTCCGCTTCGAATTTCTGAATTCAAACAAACCAAACGTTCCTCCATGCTGCTGCAGTAACCACACAGACGGGGACGCTCTTTGCGGCGGCCCGCGCCTCGCTCCCGCCATGTGGCATGCCGTCGCCACTGCACATCCCCCATTCTTTGCTAAATTAACCTTCGCCGTTGCGCACATACCTGCACGCCGTTGCACGCCGCTGTGCGGGCGGCACGGAAGCACGAGCAGCGAGCGGCGCGCCGGGGATGTCCCATCGTGAGTGCATGCAGAGTGTCACTGCGCTGAGGAATGATGCCCGCCACCATGGACTCGCTCTGGGGTGTTGACATTCTTGGACTGTGTTGGCTTCTTCTTGCATGGTGATATTTTATCTAGAATTATTCGGTGGTGTGGATGGCATGTAGTAGTATTGAGTTCTAACTTAGGTGGTGTAGTTCTAATGTCAAGGACTTGAAGTATTTCGCACGAATGGTAGGTCCCGTGCGAAGTTCACGAGAGAAGTGGTAAGATAAACGTATGTCAGGGTTCGTATGTATGCCTGCGGTGTATATGCAGGTTCATGGTCAGTGATCTGGCCACGGCGATTGTCGTTACCAGCGGAGCCATCCCCCGTAAGTCCCTGGTATTGGCATTGAGAAATAGGATGATTGTAGTGGCGTGACTATTGTCCGCGAAGCTTAAAGTAGTGTCCTGATTGCGTCTGGCGACTTCTGCCGTTTACTCCCAACGTCGCGTTGTGCATTCATGACATGGTTTAGGTTGTGAGACGTAGGCGCAGGAGACATGCACTCTCGGCCCTTTCCGGCCACGCCTGCTTTTCTTATCTGGATTTTCAATGCCTTACAGTGTGTCCTCGTGCCGCTCGTTTTATTGACCTGGATCTTTTCCGCTTTCCATCATGGAAAAGGAATTCTTCGACGAAGGTGCTTTTACGGTCCTTGTCCAATGAGTTTGCACCGAAAAATTCGATAGGACCTTCCACTATCGTATCTACTTGCGAATACTCGGACGGCAAACTCGCTATTGTCCTTGTTGTAGTGCCTGTAGGGGATTAAAGATAGCACTTATCTCAAGCAATTTAAGTTCCCCTTGAACTCCAGCATAAGACCCGTCCTTAAAAGGACAGACTATTATTCGCCAGCGGTAGTCTTTTTCCTACAAAGCGGCCGTTAGCTATGCCACCCAAATCATGCGATATAGCGATAATAGACCAAGCGATTGTATGTGCCGTCAGAGTAACTATGAATAAGAAACTCTCAGTGTTGCAGGATGGCCCCAAGACGGGACCACGGATCTGCTCAAGAAAGAAAATTGGGAATATTTTCCTCATAGGCAAGGTGATATTCAACAAAACCAGTTCGACATACCTTTCTTTCGCTCGGCCTTCGGCAAACGACTCCAGCGCAAAGCTCGCCTGCGCCGGGCTTGGGTATCTTGTTCTCAAATGCGGATGGGATGGGGAGCCGCAGCTGCTGGGCAGAGGCAGACGTGGGTAGCCTTACGCAGGTTGTCATCTGCCTGCTTCAGCAGCGTCTGGATCTACCCAGCAGAGAGCTCATCATCATAATCTGAGAAGGCATCTGGGTCCTGGCGCGCTGGACTGACGCCGCCATGATGTGTCGTGGTTATGGAGGAGGTTGTCACGGTTGCGTGGTTGTGGGCATGGCACGGAAATCTTTGGTGGAGGACGTGCGCAAGCGCAAAGCACGGGCCATGCCTCGCAGGCGGACAAACATGACAAACACCAATGGAATCAACCAGCAGCAAGAGGCCAAATCACCTCCAATTCCTACAATTCCCTTTCCTTCCACTTGATGCCTTCCATCCATCCAGTAAATCCTACGGTGATGGATTAGGTAGGCAGATAAGTAGGTAGCGACAGCAAACCACTCACTCTTCATTCCCGCATTCCCTCACTCAAAAAAGAGAGAGACCAAAAAGGCAAGGAACCCAAGCCACAGAAACGTAAAACATGGAAAGACAGAGAGGAGACAGAGCAACTCCTCAAACGCCCACTTCCAGTCCTTCAGTCCCCCCCCCCTTCCCTCGTAACTAGTTTTCACTATGTGGGTATGTATTATCATCATCGTTGGCCGCCGTGTTTTCGCCCCTAACAGTGCGCGCACGCGTATGCTTGCTCTTCCATAACCAGCCAGACAGCAGGTCAGGCGGCGCAGAATCCGACGCGATGATTAAAAGGTCGGCGGTGTCGGGACTCCCGCACACATTGTGTGCTCCTCGCCATTCCAAAACGCAAAAGCAGTCGCAATGGTACAACTTCCCCCC